GAGATAACTTCTGTTATGAATTATTGAATTGAATTGAATAACTGATGGTAGTATATGAGTGGAGAAATCTGTCAGTGTCCTCTTTCTCAGGCCAACCACTGACTCCTGACCCATGACCTTTGACCTCTTGCTAGTAGATGCTAGAAGTTGTTTGGTCTGGTTTTCACAGACAGCTGATGTTGTCTGTATCTCCCCTGTGAGGCAAGCTTAGATTTACATGACTTTTTGTTTTTGTTTCTTTTACCTTGAGTTTTCAGTTGCACTTTCTAAACACTTGGTTAGGTTTAGGCAGTGAAACTACTTACCGGTAGTTAGGTTTGTGAAAAAATAGATGTTTTGAGAACAATAACCACATTAAAACTGGAATGTGCTGCAGGGTGTGACTTGCAATGAAAAGCAGTGGGATCCATAATAACGCACTAATGCAGTGTTCCCTGCAGCTGTAACATGTGATGTTATGATGACCTAACCTTAACCTGCCAGTTATAATAACATACTCATCAAGGTAATTGATTGATTGATACTTGTGAACATGACAACATCACTTCGATCAAACAGGTTGGAAACAAACTGACAGTTTATCACAGTCAAACATTTGTTAATAATCCCTCACAGTACAGGAAAATTGTGAGCTGACAACCTGTGTTTTCCTACTCTTTAGGAGTGAGACTGCTGAAAGCGGAGAAGCAGATGGTCCACTTAGAAGATGAGGAAAAGGATGTAAAGGATTAAAGCCTTTATTTAAATTTGATTTTGTTGTCAATTGTTTTTATGTTCACAGTCTCATTAAATGTTGTTTTGACCTAACATTTAATTTTTACAATGCCTCCTTGCTCATTTTCTACTCACATCCCTGCAAAGGAAAATATAAAGCAGAATAAATGTTTTTGACATTGATAAAGCTCAACGGTAAGGTAGTTCACTGGCCACACACACCCGTCAGTCACCAAGTCTCAAAAGTGGGTAATATGACAGGGATTTCTCTGGTGGAGAGAAGTGTTACAGTAAGTAGAGATTTTGTGCTGTACTTGTATAGTGCCTTTGTAGTCTTCTGACCACTCAAAGCGCTTTACACTACATGCCACATTCACCCATTCACACACATACATACAACATAAACTAATACTCATTCATACAAATGTATACACTGATGCACAGCATTGGGAGCAATTTAGGGTTCAGTATCTTGCTCAAGGACACTTCAATATGCAGCATACAGTTGTATTTTAGACAGTAAATAAATGGTTTTCCCTGTGTGGTGTGGATGAACTGACCTCCACCTCGTCCAACAGCTTTGGGATGAATTGAAACACTGACTGTGATCCAGACCTTATCACCCACATCACTGCTGGGACTCACTAATACTCTTGTGGCTGAGCAAGTAATAATAATTTAAATATCATTACTTAAATATATTATTTATTAACACTGAGTATCACATATGGGTGGAATATTAAGGTAGCCACAGAGCAACATTGTCTTAGCCATGTATTAGCTGGAGCTGCTGCTGACAACAACTCAACAAATAAAGAAACAGCTTCTCCTGGTAAACGTATTGCTGGCTAGATGGTGCAGAGTGAGAGGATGTGAACACACAGCACCACAAATCTGCAGCCAGAGGCAGATGTTGTGGGGAACAGTTAATTAATAAAATGATGATGAGCAAATAAATAATAGTTTGGTGGCGCCATTTATATGATGACAACAATCGAACACTATTTAGGTCCTAATTCTACTATATCTCACAATCATATAAGAAATATATTAAAAATAAATGCAATTCCAATCCAATCCAACTTTATTTGTTAAGCACTTTAAAAACAACCAAAGTTGACCAAAGTGCTGTACCAGGAGAATAAATAAGACAGCATAAATGTAAACAGTGATGGGTGATGATGAAGACCACTGTGAGGAATATAAACAGTGATGGCGATAACACTGGAAAGTTCCCGTGGCAGATAATAAAAAAAAAAATGGACGAAGTCCGATGACGATAAGCTCGATGTCCGGGCTGCAGACACTCTTTCACACAGACGTGCCCGGGGTTACACCACCTGTTGTTTACGAGCACGGCCAGTCCCCCTCCTTTCTTCTTGCCGGTCGCGGTGGTGTCCCTGTCGGCTCGAACCGTCTGGAAGCCGGGAATGGTGACGTTGGAGTCCGGTATCTGCTCGTGTAGCCACGTTTGTTTCCAAGTGATACTGCAGGGATGTAGGGTTTAACCTTCCTCTTCTTCATCCTCCGTTTAACCCCCGCTCTGCAGCCTCGCCGTCTCCTCCTCAGCTCCTCCGGTATGGAGGCTCTCTCTCCGGTCAGGATGCTCGGGTGCCTCAGGGCGATCATCTGGTCGGGTGTAAACAATGCGACTCCCCGTCGCCATGGAGACCCGTGCAAACAAAAAATAAAAAGTGCTCAAAAACGCCAAAAAAGTATTTAGGCGACGTGAACAAAGTAGTAAGAAAGTAAGAAAACAGTTAAAAATAGAAAAAAAACACTGAAAACACACTAAAACTACAACGATAGGAGCTGCCATGACAGGCTGCCGTTGTCGCCGGCACCGTTCCATCCCCAGAGATGAGGTAACTATGTAGCTTACTGTAAACTATACATGTATAATACTTGAAAACTGTATAAACTGAGTAGAAAAAGTATTTTCTGCCTTTATAAACCCATGTGAACTTTGCACGTAATTGTAGAATGAAAACTCCTCTCAAAATAACCAGCCAGTGTTACTGATATTCCTGATCACATTATAGTGTTTGAATCAGTGGATGCTACTTACAAGGAGTCCTCTTCATGGTAAATGGACTGTACTTATATTGTGTCTTTCTAGTCTTCACCACTCAAAGCGCTTTACACTAGATGTCACATTCACCCATTCACACACACATTCATACGCTGATGGCACAGCATTGGGAGCAATTTGTTCAAGGACACTTCAGCACGCAGCGGGAGGAGCCGGAGATCGAACCGTCAACCTCCTGATTAGTGGACGATCACTTCTACCTCCTGCTCTTTCTTTCTGCCTGCTACGTCAGTCTTTATATTTTATTTAAATATATAAGTCATCTGGAAAACAACTCAGATTAAGTGTAATTCCTGTGTACTGTCACATAATAATATTGCTACAGTAATTAGTTATTAGTCTTAAATTCTAATCTAATCAAATGTATGTAGAAGCATCGTCACAACCCAATGTCATATAATAAACTTGTATCTGACTTTAGTTTGATTTCAGCTGAGACAAAAATATCAGAGACACACCAAGCTGAGTGTGTGCAGCAGCCACACCTTTCTACCTGCAGTCAGAGTATGCAGTCAGACCGGTCTGATGGTATCTGTTCCTGAAAAACTGAAAGTAAACCAAGGTATTATATTTCACTCCATCACCACCAACACACAGTTACAGTGAGCTAAACAGCAGCTTTCTCTCATAGAAACTGACAGCAAATCTATTAACATTTAGTTTAAAACTTGAATGAAGTTGGAGGGACTTTAGAACCCAGCAGAGATTATGTGAACCGTCAGGTGATAAGCTGATGCAGGTGTGGAAGGTGGTACAGACAGAAAAACACCTGTTACAGACCTGCACTGACTTGACCTGAGCAATAATGTGCAATGTAAAGTAATCCATTGGTTAGTGCTTTCTGATCCAATCACCACAGACATGCCGTCAGAGATCAGACTTTTTAAACACCATAACAGATAACAGATCCAGTGATCCATCTGATATGTACATCTTTTTCCAACGTTAAAGCTCCCTCAGAGGAAATATGAGGAGAAAAGTGGATTTGAAGAGGTTCATAAAATGTCAAAGCTTCCTGTTTCACAGCTCAACTTGATATTTATGTTGATGATATTTTGTTCCTGTGTGCTGTCTGTCGGAGTGCAGATGAGACAAAAACACACTGCTGTATGTTTGAGTCTCAGCTGATTATTGATGCAGCAGCAGCGCCACCTGCTGTCCAAACCAACAAACTACCAGCTCAGGTCACATCTTCTCTCATCTGCTTGTCAGTCACAGAACTATGGAAGCACATTTCTGCCAGAAAAATAAGAACATAAGATGATCATGTTAAATGTCAGACCTCCTTCCATGTTCTCTGCTGTTTAACACACATTCATTTTCATCTACAGCTCACTGAAGGACAAAAAACATACAGAACAAAACCAGTCTGGGTCAAGGTTTCTGTACTGATGTGTATGATGCACTCAGAAAAGTGATCTGTAAACTAGTTACTTACTGCAGATTACATTTAATATCCAAAACCTACAATGAGTTCATGAAACACAATTCACTGCTAAAGTTGTAGTAATATAACAGATATGAATTTACTTTACTCTGTGAGTCCAAGTAATATTTGTTATTAAAGTGCCCTGATCATCACATGACATGGTTAAGCTATGTTTAGGTAAAGAAATGTTGTGTGTAAATGCAGCTGCAAGATCAAAACTTTCCACTTATAGCTTCAGATATTTTATTTGAAAGAGAACTTTAATTTACAAAAGCCTCCTTTGGACAGTTGAGGACTGTTTGTGTTCATTTTGAAAGAACAACAACCAATCAATGAAAGAGCAACTCAACACTGGACCAACCAGTGGTGTAACTTCATCCCTCAGTAAGTCAGACACAGTTTGCTGTTTATAGAGCTGGACCCCCTTCACTGCAGTCCAGACAGAAATATCACTGTTTAATGACTTTAATCACTTACTGATTGTGATTTAAATAAAAATAGTGAGAGTGTCCTCTTTTCCTACTGATTTGATGCAGTTGTAAATGTTTGTATTCATATTAATCACATACTGGTGTTGTTAGATAAAATTATGCAGATGTTTGTTTAGGTCATCCCACAGTTCTTCTACATAACCGGAAGTTGTTTATCAACAGAAAAAATACCAGTTAAGCTCTAATTGAAACCAACGATATACAGAAGATATAGGCTTGGTTAGCCCAATGTGTATGAACACAGACTCATGGGATGTCCCGTAGATGAAGAGGGGAGAGTCCAGAAACACAAGAAAAGGGAGGGAACCTCAAAGTTAAAGTGTTCAGTTGGTTCAGACTCCATTTTGAGTGGACAGAGCAGGAGGAGGAGAACTGAAGGCTGAGGCAGAGTGAGTGTTCATACAACATTTTATTATTTTACTGTCAAAGTCTCTGAGTCAGTTTCTCCTGTAGAGGAAAGAAATGATTTAGATTGAAAGAAAACTGAGCAAGTGGAGTTTCAGCTGGTTTTGTGTGTGTGTGTGTGTGTGTGTGAAATGGTATTTATGTAAATGGCTGTCCAAAAGATAAGATAAGATAGACTTTATTGATCCCACACTAGGGAAATTCACAAAAAGGAGTCAAAGGGAGTGATAAGTATTTGAAGAAAAATAAAAAACAACCAGGAAAAAAAATTTTCATAATTTTTATTAAAAAACCTCACATCAGACTTTGACTAGCCCTAAAAGTGGTCTCAGTCCCAAAGATACTCACGTCTAACTGTTTCACAAACACTGGATGTCATTCAGGTTTCGATAACAAGGCTGGTTTGCAATTCTTCTCAATTATTGTCATATCAGATTCTCAGTATAAAAGAAGTCCCCGGATTGACTGTATAGAATGAAGATCGCCTGATGGCTGGTACATGACACAAGTTCCCACTTAGATAGCAGCATAGAACGACATTCACACTCCAGCATGGATGCAAGTATTTTAAAAAAAATAAAAAGCCTGGGCGTGGAGGTCTGACCTCCTGGTGGACTGGACCCGAGAGACAGCGGGTGGTGCGCGGGCCGGGTTGCGCGTAGAAGACAGTCGCCCATTTGCAGCGGCAGCAGGGGTCAGTCCTGGCGAACAGGAAAAGGTAGGCGATCTGGACTAGAACCAATCCGGCCCTGGGAGGTGGGGAGGCCCTAAGCGGTGTTGGAGGCAGAGCATGGCAAGACCAAGGCTGGATCTGTGGTGGTTGGGGAGCCCTTAGACGCCACATCAGGAGCGGGGACAAGGCCAGAAGATGAGCGCTCACTCAGCCGTAGTTCTTCCCCATTTTCCAAAGTTTGGAATTTGTTGGACAGCAAGAGAGTGTCAGCTGTGAGTCGTTGGCTGGAGTTTTAGCACGCCGCCTACTTCAGACTCGGACCCATGGCTCCGTGTTGCAGGGAGTGGAGCAGGCTTGGGACTCACGACCAGCCCCGAGGGTGGGCCACGAGTCGATGCTCAGTGCTGGGATGTTTGTCGAAAGGATCGGCTCCCCACCGGTGGTAACAGAGCCGGTCCATGGAAGGGTGGAGAGGTGTTTAGCTTGAGAAGAAACCACCTTCATCTTATAATATATATGGTCTAAACCTGCTCTATATGAAATACACTGAGGTAACTTCTGTTATGATTTGGAACTAAATAAAATTCAGTTGAATTAACACAGTATAGTTAACTGAACTGTATCTTAAGCTGTGCAGTCTAACTGGTATGTTAGTGCTTTAAATAGGCATTAAAATGGTAATAAGCTATTGGCAGCCCATATCAGAACCATCACAAAATTATACAGATCTAAAAATAGAAAGTTGGACAATGCAGTACAAGTGGGGACCTTTCATTATGTTCAGTCATGATTTTATCCTGTTTTTTTTTTTATCCCTTACTACTTACTGCCCTGCCTTCTGGATAGCCCTTCATTCTAATACAATCTGATGCTACAAACTAGTTAGGAAATTCACATTAGTTGAGCTTTATTGTTTTGTTACAAATACCATTAAAATATTATGTTGCAAGAGACAATTTACTTGACATTTTTTCACAAAAAATACAGATTTTTTTGTTTCTCTTATTCATCCATGCTGGAGTGTGAATGTCGTTCTATGCTATCTAAGAGGGGACTTGTGTCATTATGTACCAGCCAACAGGGGACTGACAGAGGTCATACAAGAGGGGACTTTTTTATTTACTGAGAATTAACAGACAATTCACAAACATCCAGTGCTTGTGAAAAGTGGTCAGTGAGTATTTTGGGACTGAGCCACTTTAAAGGGCTAGTCAAAGTCTGATGTCAAGTTTATTAATTAAAACTAAAAAGAAAGGATCTTACTACTTTATTACTAATTTCTTCAGTTTTTTTTATTTTTCTTTCTTTTGTTGTTCTCATTTTACTTTATTTTGATGACTGTAATCTGTGTCATGGCCAAACAGCCACAACATGACAGAAAATGTATTGGGGCGTCTTAATGGACTCATTGGGGCAACCTGATAATAAGGAGTTGCAGTAATACAGCCTAGAATGAACAAATGCACGGATTAGTTTTTCTTCTTGTGTATTTGAGGAGACATCAGTACCTGTTGAGGGACACTACGATGGTTTGAATCTCAAATGGTTCTCACAAAGATATTAACACAAGCCCACACACACATTAAAAAAGCGTAGCAGTGATAAAATATTGATATAAAAATATTTTATTCTCTGTAAATGATTCTAAATCTTTTCGGTCTTTGTCTAATCAGAACACATTACCTCCAGTAAGTAATGTGAGACCAGCGAGCTGTTAATGAGATTCATCATCACACACTTTCTTGCTTTTGTTTCAGTTGAAGTTCAGCACTGTGGAAAGGCATGGATCCAACTCACACAGAGCAGCGATCAGGACTGAGCTGGCTTCAGGTCCCTTGTTTCGCACTGTGTCGATCAAGTATCGAGCTTTTTCTGCTTTGACTTTTGTTGTAGCTGACTGCATTTCCTCATCATTTATAATGCGACGCTCAATGAGTTTATCCAGAAGCTGGTTCAGAACAGGGTCAGACGCACCGTTTATAAACTGTGTCCGAACTGAGCGCAGCCTCTCCTGTGCTGGGACTCTGTCCTCTGCTGGGACTCTGTCCTCTGCTGGGACTCTGTCCTCTGTTGGGACTCTGTTCTCTGCCGGGACCCTGTTCTCTGTTGGGACTCTGTCCTCTGCTGGGACTCTGTTCTCTGCTGGGACTCTGTCCTCTGTTGGGACTCTGTTCTCTGCCGGGACCCTGTTCTCTGTTGGGACCCTGTCCTCTGTTGGGACTCTGTCCTCTGCTTGGACTCTCTCGTCTGCTTGGATATCCCTCTGTGGAATTTCCTCTATTGAATCTGGAAGATAATGAGGGAAAACCATTTTGTTTAATAACCAACAATCACTTTTAAAACACAAGTGACAATATTTTAAAGGTAAAAAAGTATACTGATTTACTGTGATTTTATGATGGCACTCCCTTTCTTTTCATTAAACGATCAATATACTGTTAATTATCTGTTTATCTTGTAGTATAACTTATTTCCTTACAACCAATCACATCTTGCATAAAGCAGTAAGGTCGGTGTTGTTCGAGTAGTTCCCTAAAACTTCGCCACATTTGGGTTGTAATTTGTTATTTTACAATGAGGAAACACACGGTTAGTATAAAAATATTGATTATATCCACTTTATGTTTTGCGCACACTGGCCCTGGAGCTCAATAAGATCCCTCAAAACTGGTTAAAAAAGTGGACTCCAGGATGAATGCAGACCGAAGAATGATCTAAGGCAGAGTAGGAATAAAGGCACCTTTACCTGTCAGATCAACTTTACGCGTCCAGACTACCATCTGTGTTTGGTCTTGAACCGTTAATATCACTCTTCTTCTGCTTGCAGGCAGCCAGATCTCAAACATTGGGTCGTAATTTGGTCCAAACTCCAGATCAAACTCTTCTTCCTGAAAACCAAAATATCCCAACAGTTTCCCAACAGTGTCCAGAGTAGACTAAAGGTAACCAACAGCAATTGGCTGAATTGTTTCAGAACTAACAAAGACTTTTATTAAAAATACTCACCTCTGGCTGAATTTCGCTGGCCTCAGGACAGTCAAGACTGTAAATTTGATCTTTGATTAGTTTGCATTTAGAAGAGGGCTTGATGTTCTTATAAGGCTGTTGCTGTTTGCTGACCTAAAGAGACATAAGAACATTTTAATATTTAAACAATACTTTTATTCCACAGTACTCAACCTCCAGTACCGGTTCTACAATGTTTCAACCAGTACTTGTTATTCGGGACTTTTGTTGGTGTTATTTGCAGCTCTAATTCCTCTCTCACAAAGGAAACCTGGAAAAAACTACAACAAGCCATTTCAGTCAGAGTAGCCTAACCTGGTGCTAACTTTGATAATAGTGAAGGCTAAGACTAGCATGCATTACATCATACCAGAGAAAAGGGATGGTGAGTCCACTAACGATGGCTCAGAAGTGACAACTTGAAGTCAAGTTCAAACTGGAAAACATAGAACGTGAGAAAATATGTTAACAAGTATTTTGAGACTGGTTCTAGGGACATGGAATGAACTCTGGTGGATAATGAACTGGGCTGGAGCAAACCAACTAAATACATTGTTGGGCTGAGGAACTGGGCTCTTTCATTTTCCAGTTGGCCAGAGTGAGAAAGGCGTGGGGATTATCACAAGCAACACTCTATAGTGGGAGACTTCAGCACTTACATGGACAATGATGGAGAAACCTAGAGGAGGGTGAATAAGAGGAACAACCTTCATGATCAGGAGGTTTTACTTTTCAGATAAAACATCCTTTGATGAATATTGACAATGTCTCCCACGGTAGCCACTCTTTCCCACCAGGCAGATCAGATTCAGATTTTATGAAGTGGTCAGAAAAGAAAATAATGGATCTGATGTTATTGAAAGTTGGACCTTAAAACTGGATCTTCAGTTATTGCCTGTTGAGAAGACTTACAAGAGGATTTCCCTTCCAAAGACTGGGAAGCAGCATTCAGCACTATCCCCCAAATTCCACCTACACAAGTACACAAGTGTCTAACTGAGACTGTCAAGTTTCATATTAATTCAGACAAACTTTGGAATATTTTGCACAAAACAAGGGCTGGGCTGATTTTGTCCTCCATCACATACATTCAAACAACATTATGATGGTATCTCTTGATGTCCACTATAAACAGTAATGCAAGAAAAGGCTGTAAAGTGTTCATATGAACTTGAAATTGTTCTTTAAGAGAGATCAGATCATTTTGGACTGACAGCTGCAACATGAAGCCTTACCTCGTCCATATGGATGTTCCTTGGGAGGAGAAACGCATTGAGTTTTTGCATTTGTGTTACTGGGTTTGCTGGTTTGTGGAAAAGCAGAACTCGGCCGCTAACTGGTTTCGTCCACAACCTCTTAACAATGTCCCAGACTAGGCCAAAGATAGACAGGTGAGGGACTTTAATGACCACATGAGTGTCTGTAATCTCCAGCGGCTCCAGGATGCTCATTCCATCATCAGTGATGTGGACAACAGACAACAGACCATCAGGCAGCAGAGCTGTGAAAACACAAAGCAGTTAAACTTTTGTTTTTACTGATAACAACCTCAGTACAATGCTGGTATAATTATATTTCCAGGACACTAAGCTGATTCATTGTAGAATAAAACTGCTACCCAGGATGAGCAATTTATTGAACAGCTGTCAGTGTTGGTGGGTGGGAAGCTGGTGAGGGATTGTGTCCTTGCTCTTGCCTGAGGGGAGAGGGGATACATTGTTGTGCCTGGGGGAGCTGCTATTCCAAATGAAAGAAAGAGGGAAAGTATGCAAAATAAGTAAAAAGAAAAAGAAATGAAGGTAAAATGTTCATGGTCCGAGAGGATCCCACTGCTTTTTCTGTAAGACCACCATTCGGCAAAAAGTTCCAAGACTGTAAAAGATTTTATAAGACTGATATTTCCACACATTTATGCTCCCCTCAATAACCCCATTTGATTTTATTCTACCGCCTTTAACCTTTCATGTTTAGCTGCTTTGCTGCTGACACTCCAACAATAGATAAATCCTTAGGTTGTTTTTTGTTCAGACTGTGGTATGAAACACTGTATCATGTAGGGGGCGCTAACAGGTATTTACAGTTGTATCAACAAAACTCTCCACAAAGC